TTCCATGTACTTCTTTACAGTCCGGAAATGACCATTTGGTAACATGTACATGCTAACCTCGCAGCGACATCCACTGTGTTTTATATGCAAATCTATTTCCAAAAGGACATCAAATGAATGTATTATCTCCAGAAACTCATAATTTTTCAAGAAGCATGACACGATGATTAATTATTTAAAGTGTTTATCAGAAGACAGAGATAAGATGGAAAACAGAGAACCTTTTGAAGAAACAAGTTGTTACTCTTTTGCATTAAAAACTAGGCTCTTCTTCCACGATATAGAACACCAAGTATATAGAGAGGAAATAGAAAGTCAGCAAGACTGCCCTTTGGCATCATTAGGGCTCATGCAGGGGCGGACTGACAACTCATGGGGCCCCCGGGCAATAGGGGATCATGGGGCCCTGTGTCATTGCCCACACCCAAAAAAGCCTAGGAAAAAGCCAATGAAAGGTACCAGGGGCATCTCATGGGGCCCCCTACTGACCCTGGGCCCTCGGGCAGTGCCCGAGTGCTCAAATGGTCAGTCCGCCCCTGGGCCCCATGTACACTGCAGCTGATAAAATCACATTTAGGAGTTGTTCAGCGTTTTTCTCTCAGCAGCCCCTGAACTCTCCCTAATGTTTTCCTATGTGTCCATGTACACATCTTTGTTTACAGTTGTTTACAGGCATACAGTTGTTTTCTTAAACACAGAAAACTTTCGTTCAGCAGTCGATTTTATCAGAGTTTCAAACGCAAAATGCTTGTAAACGCGGCAAATCGCTTTTATAATCATTTGCGGTTTAAATTTTTTTTTTAACTCTTCCAGTTCCCGATGCTGTCCAGAGCCTTTTTTCATCATGAAAAATGCATGCAAAGCGTTTTCAAGGTACTCAGATGGACAAAACACTGAACACAGGATGTTCCTACCAAGCTTGTCACACATTGCAATGACCAATTCACACCTCAGACCTCTCCCACCCTTGGAAACAAAAGATATGTTAATGACCATTCACACCTCAGGCCTCTCCCACCCTTGGAAACAAAAGATATGTTAATGACCATTCACACCTCAGGCCTCTCCCACCCTTGGAAACAAAAGATATGTTAATGACCATTCACACCTCAGACCTCTCCCACCCTGCTATATGCTTTCGCAATCGACCCCTTTGTAAGAGGGCGCATGGTTGTGCGGGGTGCCTCTGGGCATTGCTGGTGTGCCACCTTTGAAGGTCGTCGCCTATGCTGATGATGTGTCGTTATTATCTCTTGGACTGAGGAGGCGCAGGAGGTGGTCTCTGTGATAGAGCAGTACACGGAGGCTTCTGGCTCTAAAGTCAACCATGAAAAGAGTGAAGTTTTCTGGATGGGTGAGGAGGGTGAAAGCTTCGAACTTCCGGATGCCTTCCCAGAGCCCCAGCAGGAAATTAAAGTTTTGGGCATCAAATTTGGTCCTGGTGACTATGGTCATCAAAACTGGGAAAGCAGGTTGGTAGATGCCAATGCCAAAATAGCAAGCTGGAAGAGATGGAGGCTTTCCTTGAGGGAGAGGATTGACTTGATCAAAACTTACCTGATCCCGATCTTTTTATATGTCAGCTTTGTCTGTGTCTTGCCGGTATCTCTCTATGCACGGGTCTACAGCTGTTTTTTCCAACTGTTATGGGGAAATAGGCTGAACCTGATCAAACGCAATGTAACTTACCTGTCCAGGCGGGAGGGTGGCCTAGGAATGGTCAACCCAATAGTTTTCTTTTCTTTGCTCTTTTTAAAGTACAATCTTGGTAATATGTTAGCAGAGACCCCGCCGGGATGGGTGGGTATTTTTCAGTCTTGGTTTAGGCCTTTTCTGCATTGCTGGGAAGATGGCGGGCCAGTGAAAAGTCTGAGAGTCCTACATGGCAAGCTCCCGGCTTATGTTGCCCCATGTCTGAAAATACTTCGGCAGTGGCAGGTGACAGTGGAGGATATCAGGTCCCTTCCCAGGAAGCTTCTGGGGGAGAGGATTTTGGCTTTTGCTTTGTGTCACTGGGCTTAAAGGATTGCCCAGGCTCTGTAATGAGGGAGGGATTGCGTTTAACTTGGAGAGAATCCCTTTGAAGTTTAGGAATCAAGCCTGGCTCGCTTTTCATGGAAGGCACTATGTGAGAGGGAACCTGAAGCACCGCCCTGTGGATGATCGGGATTGTCCTAGAGCAGAGTGTGTTGGTAAAGTGGAGTCTATGGACCACTTCCTGCTCCAGTGTCCCTTTAACATAGAGGTGTATAAAAGGGTGGGGAGGGTTCTGGGCATCCCCTTTCTCTATCGCATGAGTTATGCAGAGTGGGTGTACGGGGCATTCCCAGCTTTGCTGGGACTTTGATTTGGATACACTTTTTCTAGATAGTTGTTCGTTACTTCACATGGAACGCAGGGTGTCAGATTACCCTCCGGAAGAAAGTCCTCCCTGTAGAGGTGGTGGTGCACGATATTCTGGGTGAGGTTGGGAAGATTCGGGTCTTGAGAAGGGCAGAGAGCCTCGGGCGGTCTGGATAATGGCGTGGAGGAATATCAGACCTGCCTTTGGTGAACTGTCCATCTCTGGGTGAGGGGCTCTTTCCTTATACTGTTCTTTTCACTCCCTTAGTTTTTTTTGAAGAAGGGCTGCATGTATAATGGGGGCGGGGTGGTTTCTTGACCTCACAGGTTTGATGTCTGGTGTAGTGATGTGAGTGGTAGTACGATTTATTTCCCCAATTATGTCATGTTCATTTCTGAGACGTTTGCTTTTGTCTGACAGCAGATTTTGCTATATTTATTTTTGTTTTGCTGTAAATATATATATAATTATTTATTTTTTTTATATTCTGTATATTATTTTTTGCTTATTGATTGCAAGAGTTTTAATAAAGAAAAATTGGGAAGAATGCCCCTTACATTGGTGGTCATTGGGAAGAATGTCCTTTACATTGGAGGTCAGTGGGAAGAATGTCCCTTACATTGGAGGTCAGTGGGAAGAATGCCCCTTACATTGGAGGTCAGTGGGAAGAATGTACCTTACATTGGTGGTCATTGGGAAGAATGTCCTTTACATTGGAGGTCAGTGGGAAGAATGTCCCTTACATTGGTGGCCAGTGGGAAGAATGTCCCTTATATTGGTCGTCAGTGGGAAGAATGTCCCTTACAATGGAGGTCAGTGAGAAGAATGTCCCTTACATTGATGCTCAGTGGGAAGAATGTCCCTTACATTGGTGGTCAGTGGGAAGAATGTCCCTTAAATTGGTGGTCAGTGGGAAGAATGTCCATTACATTGATGCTCAGTGGGAAGAATGTCCCTTACATTGGTGGTCAGTGGGAAGAATGTCCCTTACATTGATGCTCAGTGGGAAGAATGTCCCTTACATTGGTGGTCAGTGGAAAAAAATGTCCCTTACATTGGTGGTCAGTGGGAAGAAAGTCCCTCCCATTGGAGGTCAGTGGGAAGAATGTCCCTTACATTGGTGGTCAGTGGGAAGAATGTCCCTCACATTGGAGGTTAGTGGGACGAATGCTTCTTAGATTGGTGGTCAGTAATTTGAATGCCCCCCTTACAGTGGTTGTCATGTTGCCACCTTTAGGCAGGCAATGCATTATGCGACTCTCTTTCATTCAACCAAAGGTTGTTGATGGGGGAATTCCTCCTGGAGCGCCATTGTGTTCGGCTGACATGGAGTGCTGGAAGCCTTTCCACAGGCAGAATGCAATGATTGCAACCAGCAGCAATAGCCGTTGATAGTGATCAGTCTAAAAGAACCCAACTGGCTAGTTCAAGGGTGGGGAACTGTGGCCCTTCAGCTCTTGTAGAACTACAAGTCCCATGAGGCATTGCAAAACTGACAGTTACAAGCATGACTCCCAAAGGCAGAGGCATGATGGGACTTGTAGTTCACCAACAGCTGGAGGGCCACAATTGCCCACCGCTGGGCTAGTTATACTGAAGTCAATCGATCGATCACTTATAATGCAACCAGCCTGTTCACAGATGGGTTGAATATCTCCACAAAGCATTTTTCAGCCTAGCCTACATTTTTCTCTCAGTACAAGTTCCTTTTATTACTTCCTATATTTTATCCCTCGCTTCTTCATTCTTTATATACTTTGAGCCACTGCCGTCGTGGAACATAAGAGACACCGCGTGAACCGCCGAGCGTTTCTCTTCCAGTAGCCAGAGGGGCCGAGACCGGCACCCAACGACCCTCCAAGGACTGGTTAGGGCTGCAAAGATAAGAGCAGAATTCAGTTTTCACAGGACGCCTGCTTTACAGCTTGATGTGAATTCTTTTTGAAGAAATGAAAATGTTCAGCGTGCGAAGGATGGCGCCCCTGGGCCCCGCGCACAGCTGGAGCCGCGCTACATTTCTGCAATCCTGGAAAGATTCCGCCAGGCCCTCGAAGCCTTTCAGGCACAGCAAACTTTATCAGGAACTGATGGCGGGCAACGCATTTATAGTGCGGGATCATTGCTGCACCAAGAGAAAAGGTAAAGCTTCTAGTCTCCATTTATTTACACACTGAGGTGCATGTTTATTAGCCCCTCGTCTACCGGGCACTTATACCCCCTTCCTGCCCAGGCCAATTTCCAGCTTTCAGCGCTGTCGCACTTTGAGTGACAATTGCGCGGTCATGCAACATTTTTATCATTTTTTTTTGTGGCAGATAGAGCTTTATTTTGGTGGTATTTAATCACCTCTGTGTTTTTTATTTTTTCTTAAACAAACCAAAAACCACAGAAAATTTTGAAAAAAAACCCCAATTTTTTTCTTAGTTTTTGTTATAAAATTTTGTAAATAAGTGATTTTTCTCCTTCACTGATGTGCGCTAATGAGGCTGCAGTGATGGGCACTGATAGGCGGCACTGATGAGGAGGCACTGGTAGGTGGTACTGATGGGCATTGACAGGCATCACTGATGGGCACTGAAAGGCAGCACTGATGTATGGCACTGATGTATGGCACTGATTGGCAGCACTGATAGGTGGCACTGACTGGCACTGATAGGTGGCACTGATTGGCATTGATAGTTGGAACTGACTGGTACTGATAGGTGGCACTGACTGGCACTGGTAGGCGGCACTGACCGGCACTGATAGGTGGCACTGATTGGCAGCACTGATTGGCATTAATGGGTGACACTGAAAGGCAGCTCAGATGGGTAATGATATGTGGCATTGATGTGCACTGGTAGGCACTGATATGTGGCATTGATGTGGCTACCAGTGCCCATCAGTGCAACCTATCAGTGCCTACCAGTGCAGCCTATCAGTGCCCATCACTGCAGCCTCATTAGCGCACATAAGTGAAAGAAAAAAACTTTATAACAAAAACTAAGACACTTTTTTTTTAAATTTTCAGTGGTTTTTGGTTTGTTTAGCAAAAAATAAAAACCCAGAGGTGATTAAATACCACCATAAGAAAGCTCTATCTGTCTCAAAAAAAATGATAAAAATTTCATATGGGTACAATGTTGCATGACCGCGTAATTGTCAGTCAAAGTGTGACAGCGCTGGGAGCTGAAAATTGGCCTGGGCAGGAAGGCTTGTGGTTAAACAGTAAAACCCAAGTTAACCCCTCCCGCTCCAGAGGATCCCCCCTCCTCAACAGACCATTTTTTGTGATACGTTACTTTAACTGACAATTGCGCGGTCATGCAACACTGCACTCAAATTAAATTTATGTCCTTTTTTTCAACCACAAATAGATCTTTCGTTCGGTGGTATTTGATCACCTGTGCGTTTTTATTTTTTGTGCTATAAACAAAAAAAGACCAACAATTTTAGGGAAAAAAAACTATATTTTCCACTTTTTTTTTCTAAAAAACATAAAAAAATTAAATGTCGTCATAAATTTAGGCCAAAATGTATTCTGCTTCATGTCTTTGCTGAAATAAAAATCCCAATACGTGTAAATGAATTGGTTTACGTGAAAGTTATAGCATCTACAAATGGCGGTATGGATAATGGAATTTGTTTTTTTTCTTTTTACTAGTAATGGCTGCGATCAGCGACTTACAGCGGGACTGCGATGGGCATTCTGACACTGGGGGGGAACTGATTGGGTGTCACTGACATCCCCAGTGACACCAACACATCATGATCATGTTAGCATGTCTGCCTGGCAGTACTAGGGTCGTTGGTTCAAATCCCAGCCATGGCACCTCCTGCCTGGAGTTTGCATGTTCTCCCTGTGCCTGCGTGGGTTTCCTCCGGGTACTCCGGTTTCCTCTCACACTCCAAGGACATGCTGGTAGGTGAATTGTCTCCTGTCTAAATTGTCTCTAGTATGTGTATGTATGAATGTGAGTTAGGGACCTTAGATTGTACGCCCCTTGAGGGTTAGGGACTGATGTGAATGTACAATATATATGTAAAGCACTGTGTAAATTGATGGCGCTATATAAGTACCTGAAATAAATAAATACAGCGATCAGTGCTAATTATTATTATTATTATTATACAGAATTTATATTATTATTATCATTTATTATCAGGATATTTAATAACAGGATTTCTGATTATTATTATTATACAGGATTATATTATAAATTATTATCATTATTATTATACATAATATTTATATTACTTATTATACAGGATTTATTTATTATTATTATTATACAGGATTCTGTATTATTATTATTATAATTATTATTATTATACAGGATTTATATTAAGTTTTAGTAATAATTATTTATTATTATACGGATTTACAGGATTATTATTATTCTATTTTCTTATAACAGGATTTATATTATTATTATTATTTATTAAAACAGGATTAATATTATTAATTAATTATTATAATTAATTATAACAGGAATTTATATTTATTTTATAATTATAATTATGTATACAGTGATTTATATATTACATTATTATTTATGTATACAGGATTTATGGCACCAACAGTTTGCTCAGCACTTTTTACAATTATAACGGAGGACAATACAGCAAACCAATACAGTTCAATACAAGAGGGATAGGATCAGGGGCATATTTACCACAGGCAAGGCAAACAAGGCATTTGCCTAGGGCAGCATTCTCATTGGGCGGCTGAGGGGGTGGGGGGGGGGGGGGTGTTATGCCTCGATGCAAATCTTCCTATCCGGCGGTTGTTCGGTATGCATCTGAGTAACAGTTCTCGCAACCGTCGCTACAGATGTAACCGGCCCGGTGGGCTGTGTGTGTTTGTTTCTTTTTGTTCGATACACCGCACCCGCGCAGTTTTCGATTCTCCTTATGGAGTCTGCTTAAGCTGCTTAGGCAATAGCTAACTCATGCCGGTAAAATATACTCACTCACTCCACTGCGCCGAGCTGAGCTCGCGCGACCTGCTGCACATGGGGACTTACAATGCAGGGTATGGTGGGAACCCCCTCTTAATGGGCACAGCAGCGTATGCAAACCTGGGAAACTCTACATTAGAGATGGTGGAAACCCCTCTTAATGGCCACATCACCGTTGTCCAGAACCAGGAAACCCTGCACAGGGATGGTGCGAACCCTCTAATGAGCAACAGCAGGGTTTACAGACCCGGGAACCCTGCACAGGGCATGGTTGAGAACAGACCCCTCATAATGAGCACAGCAGGTGTGCAGAATCAACTAACAGCATAGGGAATGGTTGGGTGACCCTCTCTGAATGGGCACTGCAGGTGTATAGACCAGGACACTTCAGCATTTGGGATCGGTCGGGGACCCCTCAGAATGGGCACAGCAGGTGTTACAGGACCCAAAAATTTCAGCCACAGGGATGGTGGGTATCCCTCATAATGGGCACAGCTGGTGTATAGACCCAGGAACCCAGCACAGGGATGGTGGGGACCCTCATAATGGGCACTGCTGGTGTACTGACCCAGGAACCCAGCACAGGGGATGGTGGGGATCCCTCATATGAGCACAGCAGGTGTACAGACCCAGGAACTCAGCACAGGGATGGTGGGGGATCCCTCATAATGATATCAGCAGGTATGCAGACCCAGGAACTCAGCGCAGGGATGGTGCGGATCCCTCATAATGATATCTGCAGGTATGCAGTATCCAGGAACTCAGCGCCAGGGATGTGTGGAAAACCCCTCATAGCGGGCACAGCAGGTGTACAGACCCCAAAAACGCAGCACAGGGATGGGGGACACCCTCATAATGGGCACAGCAGGTATGCAGATCCAGAATTGCAGGGGATGGTGGGAGCCCTTCCGCTAAATGGGCACAGCAGGTGTACATGTCCTTGGACATACCACAGGGATGGTGGGAACCCCTCATTATGGGCGCAGCAGATATACTGTAAAGACCTAGGAACTCAGCACAGGGATGGTGGTAACCTCTCATAATGGCCGCTGGGGTGTATAGACCCAGAAACCCATTGCAGAGATCACATCAAAAGTCTCCACCATCTACTATAACTGACTGCCAGTCTGGTAGACAGACCCTTAAATCGCATCCAAACCCAAATACAAAAATGTCATTCTTGCAGCTTTACCGGCCTATAGATGTGGTGAGCCCTTCACATTTATATTTTCAAACTCAGGGGCGGACTGATCAATCATGGGGCCCGCCGGGCAATAGGGGATCATGGGGCCCTGTGTCTCTTGCCCAAACTCCAAAAAGCCTATGAAAAAAGGTACCAGGGGCATCTCATGGGGCCCCTACTGAACCCCGGGCCCTCGGGCAGTGTCCCGAGTTTCCAAATGGTCAGTCCGCCCCTGTTTCAACTGTTGATCCTGCCAATAACAAGCTTCCTCTCCCAGGGTGACAACACTCACTGTACCGTCCAATGGAAGAGCGGCGTTGTCATCCCAGAACAAGATCCGTGATGTACATACACTTTAAATGATACGTTCCCCTCTTGGCTTCCTCTCCAGGGTGACAACACACACTGTACCGTCCCAATGGAAGAGCGGCGTTTGTCATCCCAGAACAAGATCCGAATGTACATACACTTTAAATGATATGTTCCCCTTTTGGCTTCCTCTTCCAGGGTGACAACACTCACTGTACTGTCCCAATGGAAGAGCAGCGTTGTCATCCCAGAAACAAGATCTGGATGTACATACACTTTAAATGATACATTCCCTTTTGGCTTCCTCTTCCAGGGTGACAACAACACTCACTGTACTGTCCCAATGGAAGAGGCAGCGTTGTCATCCCAGAACAAGATCAGGATGTACATACACTTTTAAATAATACATTCCCCTTTTGGCTTCCTCTCCAGGGTGACAACACACCTCACTGTACCGTCCCAATGGAAGGAGCGGCGTTGTCATCCCAGAACAAGATCCGATGTACATACACTTTAAATGATACGTTCCCCTTTTGGCTTTCCTCTCCCAGGGTGACAACACTCACTGTACCGTCCCAATGGAAGAGCAGCGTTGTCATCCCAGAACAGGATCGGGATATACATACACTTTAAATGATACGTTCCCCTCTTGGCTTCCTCTCCCAGGGTGACAACACACTCACTGTACCGTCCCAATGGAAGAGCAGCGTTGTCCATCCCAGAACAAGATCCGGATGTACATACACTTTAAATGATACGTTCCCCTTTGGCTTCCTCTCCCAGGGTGACAACACTCACTGTACCGTCCCAATGGAAAAGCAGCGTTGTCATCCCAGAACAAGATCCGGATGTACATACACTTTAAATGATACGTTCCCTTTTGGCTTCCTCTTCCAGGGTGACAACACTCACTGTACCGTCCCAATGGAAGAGCAGCGTTGTCATCCCAGAACAAGATCGGGATGTACATAACACTTTAAATGATACATTCCCCTTTTGGCTTCCTCTCCCAGGGTGACAACACTCACTGTTAACAGTCCCAATGGAAGAGCAGGTTGCCATCCCAGAACAAGATCGGGATATACATTACACTTTAAATGATACGTTCCCCTTTTGGCTCCTCTCCCAGGGTGACAACACTCACTGTACCGTCCCAATGGAAGAGCAGCGTTGCCATCCCAGAACAAGATCCGGAATGTACATACACTTTAAATGATACGTTCCCCTTTTGGCTTCCTCTCCCAGGGTGACAACACTCACTGTACCGTCCCAATGGAAGAGCAGCGTTGTCATCCCAGAACAAGATCGGGATATACATACACTTTAAATGATACGTTCCCCTCTTGGCTTCCTCTCCCAGGGTGACAACACTCACTGTACCGTCCCAATGGAAGAGCAGCGTTGTCATCCCAGAACAAGATCGGATGTGTACATACACTTTAAATGATACGTTCCCCCTTTGGCTTCCTCTCCCAGGGTGACAACACTCACTGTACTGTCCCAATGGAAGAGCAGCGTT